TAATACTAAATGTAAAAATTATTTTATTATTATAAAAATGCAAAAGTATTAAATAGTTTCTGAACGCCAATATTTGAATAGTATATTCTGTAACAAGTTTTGAATACGGTATATTCCGCTGGAGTAAAAAGTTTGTAAAACGAGCCTTGGGCGAGTTTGACGGTTTCACGAGAGCGGAATATGCAATTCCAAACGTGTTTCAGACTATACTTTTTCTACGTTAGTCCATTTTCAAGGGATAAATTTCGATTTACACATAAAAGTTGACATTTTAACCGGCACGCCGGTAATACAGATTCTCAAATCATTTTAAGATAATAATAAGTATTTTTCGTAAAAAAAATATAGCATGAAACTCATTTATAAACTTTTCTAGATACTCATTTAATTAAAAACTCGCTCGCAAGCTCGCTCGTGCCTTAAATTAAATTAAATTCGTGACTAAAATGACTAATATTAAACTTGATACATATATAATACTTTTTGATTTTATTTAAAATACCTAAAATTTATTAAATATTTTTAAACTTAAGTAAATAAATAAACTATTGTTTATTTATTTTTTAAATAAAATATAATTTACAAAAACACAATATAGGTACAGTTATTTTTATTAAATATTTACTTTTTAATTACTAATAGCTTTATTACTTTTAGAAATTTTATCAACCGAATAGTTTTCATGACTACAAATTACGATTTTCTATATAACTACTGAGTATGTACTGAGGTGTGTCAGATAATTTGAGTTACATTTATTTATATAAAGAGGAAACAAGGGTAACAAGAGTACGGCCTTGGAATATTTTATGAAATTAAGTACATATTTAGAAGTTTTTCCAATTAAATTCCAAAATACAATTTTAAATTTTAATCGAAATAAAATGTTTCTAACTGCGTCACCAAAAAATGACAATAATTAAATAATAATAATTTGCAATTCTAATATGTGAGTCAGAAGTTTTGATACACGATTTTTAGGGATCATTTATGTAACGTAATAGATACCTAGTAAAGGTGAAGAGTAAATAAATTTGTTTTCAATCTAAGAAAACAGCAGGAATCTGCAGGGATTTGAATAGATGTACATACATAATATTTTTTAATTTCATGGACAATAATTATTATATTAGTTATTTACCTATGTCATAAGGCTAAGAGTCTTTTTGTTCTGAGCTTAAAGTTTGAATACTGACACGTAGCGGGAGCCTACAACTGAACTAAATACAATTAAGTATATTCTGTAACTAGTTTGGAATACGGAATATTCCGATCGAGTGAAAAGTTTGTCACACGAGCCGAAGGCAAGTTTGACGGTTTCACGAGAGGGGAATATGTAATTCCAAACGTGTTTCAAACTATACTTTTTCTACGTTTCCAAAAAATACCATAGAAAAATAATTTAATTGGGAGAAAGTGAGGTTGGATCGGTATATCCAGAGATGTCGCCACCAGTGTTTATTCTGTCATCCGATGATAGAATATTTCATTCTGTAACACTTTACGGAAAATATGTCACAAAGTGATATTAAAACGGCCATATTCCAAAATTTTGTCAACAAGGCATAATTTTATTTGTTAAACAATACATAAAACGTACAATAATAATTATTAAAAGTAGGTTAGATATGACCGTAGTCGAATTTTTTAATTGGTTTTAACGGATTTTTAAAGACTAGGAAGTAAAACACTTGGTCTATATTATTTTTAAAGCCTAGGAGGTATTTTGATGAAAAATAATAGTATATTATGTGTCAAGTTTGATGAACTCCATTTTAGTCACGAATTTTAATTAGGCACGAGAGAGCTTGCGACCATGTGTTTAATTAAATACATGTCTAGAAAAGTTTATAAACGAGTTGCATACTATACTTTTTTAAATTAAATGAAATATTTGTACAAAGCGACATCTACAAAACAATAGAGTAGTGGGAATCTGTATTACCGCCGTCGGTGAAAATGTCCAATTTTTATGTGTAAATCGAAATGTATTCTTTAAAAATAAACTAATAACAGTTTTTCACAAGAAAATGTTTTATGAGCACTCCACGCGAAGTCTCCACCCGAAATAAAGTTAAATCTAGTTTACTGCTTGCTAAATTAAAAGGACATAACAATGTTTATATACACTTTTCATATATTGGCGTTGAGATACTATTTATAATAAAATAATTTTACATTTACGAGTAGTATTTACGTAGTATTATTTTAAAAGAAGGGCACTTCATTTTAACGATTATATGACGCTTAACAATTGTCAACTAACTTAAAAGTAACTTTGGCCCGTGACTAAAAACCTGTTCCTAACTTCAGCCCATAACTAAAACGCTATAAGCCACAATCAATGTGTATATAAAACTTAAATTAAATTATTAAATTTAAAGGTCACTTAGTGTCATAGAAACATGTACATTAATGGAAGTTTTAAAGTATAAAAAATATCTTTAAGCGTTCAATACTCACTAATAGGGCAAGTTTGTTTTATCTTCTAGTCTCTTAAAACACGTTTTGACCAATTAAAAAAATCGATAAATGTCACAAAATACAAAATCATCAGTTGACCCTCGTATACTAACTGCATTTTCTCCTTATTTAATTAAATATTCCAAGCACTTGATAGTAAACAAACTTTGTAATTTAGTTGCAGTCACAATGGTTAAAAACAGCAATCATATTCAGTGTACAGGGTTATTCCGTATATTTAGGCAGCGCCTACTGAGTTTATTATAAGAAGAAGAAAAAAACTTAAAAATATTAAGTAAAATAACAAATAAATATCGCAAACTTGGTAAAAAATACAAACTGGTCAAATCTTCCCGGTATATTAAAACAAAAATTAATGGTCATTTTTTCCCTGAATTAAAAAATATATAATATGTTTGGTGTAGCCGTTTTTTAAATATTTGCCTTACCTTGCCATGAAAAAACAAATGGTTTGAACGTCATTATTTATTCGGCAGTCAGACTTCTTTTATTCCACCCGTAAAATGGGTTGCAAATAATTGTTTTTGTTTTTCTACATTGTACCTAGATGTGGTGAGCTAGTAAAGTTGCAACAAAACAAACCAACCACGATCATTTTCTATTTATGTATTAAGCTCTACCGTATATGTGCTGCTATTTGCCCAAGACACAGTAAGATTCTTTCTTAAATATAAAAACTATAAAAGTCGAATATTAATGGGTATACATAAATTTCACAAGCAGCAAAAAAGGTTACTTTGTTTTGCATTTACCCCACTCTTCAGAATATACATTGTCTTCGAAAAATATCAGCAACACTTTTCATGTGCAATGGTGGAGACACTTCTTTCCTAAAATTAAAACTGTTAGAAATTCCCCAGAAAAATGGTGTATACGTTATCAGGAAGAACCGAATTAATTTTTATTTTCAGATTTGATTTATGTATTCGTTTTTAGTTTGAGGCATTCAGCATCCAAAAAATTTAGAGAAACTGGTGTGTAACATAAAACACACAAGATCGAGTGTACTGGATGGAGCTGCACAGATTAAAGTTCTTGGTCATCTTTCTGTGGGCCACATCCATTCCAAAAGTAGCTGCTTTAACTAATATTTTTGTTGGTTCCGTTTAAAAGTTGCTAAAAATAAATAAGTTTTTCCTTTATAAAATTCAAATGTGCCAACAACTCAGCGAAGATGACTACGACAGAAGAATCCAGTTTAGTGAGGAAATGACGCAAAGAATTTCGGTTTAATTTATTAAAAAATATTTCTTTCAGCCATGCATCTACCTTTTTATAAATGGATTTGTAAATAAACACAATTTTAGGTACTGGGACAATGAAAATTTATATATGTTTTTTGAGAGGTTCATACTGGTATTTTCAAAACGAAATAATTGGACCGGTTTTTTATAAAAAAAAACTTGACTGGACAATTATATCTTGATCTTCTTGAAAATGTTATAGACCCACTTATTACTCAGTCATTAAAAAATAAGTTGGACACAAGGAAACATGTTGCTTGGTAAAGGACATTTGTATTTTAACAAGATGGAGCTCCTTCTTACTTTAACTTAATCATTATGATATCATTTACTTTTGCAGTATTTTTAACCGTAACGGTATTCTGAGTTCTTTATCCACAGTAATTCATACCCTCCTATGCTTTACCAGTCAGAGAATGGTTGAACCAAAGGTTTCCCGAGAAATGTATTGGTAGAAGAGGTGCTCTCGAATGGCCGGCAAAATTTACAGATCTATCGACACTTGATTTATTTCTTTGGAATCATTTAAAAACACAGGTCCATAAAAAACCACCTACATTATAAGTCTGCTCCTCGTCTTTTATAATTCACATAAATGCATAAAGTACTTTGTTTTATTAAGTGCATAACATTAAGACGTAGATATGTAAAAACATTTCCTGGCAGTAATGTATTTAATAGTCTAGTTGGATTGCTTTCCTATTGACAGGTACTTCGACATTTTCAAGTAACGACAGGTGAATAGACTTTAAAGTTATAAAATTTACTTACTCGAATCATTAAGAAAGTAAAATGTTAAACTGATCAACTTTTGGTTTGATGGATAGAAATAAGTTTAAAGAAATTTTATATATTATATTTGTAATTATAAATGACTAAATATTGAAGTCAATATCATGTGTCACTGATTTGGTTTGATTTTATTTTGAAATGAGGACTATTTATTTATAGGTATATTTTCGTTCTCGGTCTATATAACAAATTTGTGTGATTTTATTAAACTGTATAATATTAATAATAAAAAAAAAAATAAAAAAAAAATGCTTTATTGTTTATATCTTAAGCCATACAATGGAAGAATGATTTCTTAGAAGTGTGTCTTTTTATGGTAATTTTACTTTTACTTTTTATAGGTAACAACTGGTCGTCGTAAATTTTAATAATTTGTGGTTGACGTTGTTATTTTGTTTTTAATGGTTAATAAGTTGAGAAGATCCTTGTTGGGAGCGGTTTTAACCTTTGGACTTTTTATATTAAAAAGAAAAAGCATAATTTCAATTTTTTCTATTTTTTATTTAAATTTTTACATTATTATAAATTTTACATAAACCTATTAGGAGTTGTATCTATATGTTACATAATGTTGTGAAAGTCACATTCCGGCAAATACGTAGGATATTAACAGTCTAATAGTCGTATTTAAAATACCTTTATTACAAAAAAAACAACAAAAATAAATCACTCATACAGTCATTGAAAATAATAAATACAATATGCAATGTAAAATCACTTGACCCGATCATCAGCTTACCATTTTATTATTAGTTCACTAGCCATTTTTACTTTAGAAACTAGAAGAAGAATAAAAAATGGAAACGTTAGGCCTTGATGACACGTTTTACAGTCCCTTATAAATTAAACTAAATTTTTGTGACTTAGAAGAATCCGTCCCCGGTGGGGTCGTTAATCCATGGGTAGTGGTTGGGGCATCTTACACAAGTTTGGAGATTTATGGTTTCCCCGGGAACTTCCTTGGAGGTAAGTTTGCAGGAATGTGGCACCCAGCAGTGGGGGTTTCCTTCAACGACGCACTTCTCCCTCCATGGCTCAAAGTTCTTGGATTCGGAGACGGTTCTTGGATTCTGGATCCACTGAATGACTTGGGTCATGGTAACGAAGTAGACATCGTTACGGTTGGCAAGGACTTCATCTATCCAGTATAAGAAAGCTTCCAAGAATTCGGGGTTGTTCTTCAACCAAGCGGCGTGGAAGTAAAGACCAAGAGGAGCTCTGTTTTCATTGTAATGACGGTCAAAGTTGTGGTTTAAGAAGTTGTAGAACTGATCTCCAGTAAGGATGTTGGAGCAAGAGTCAACCATGGCACATCCAGCAAGGTATTCGTCGTTTTCTGGGTCTTCACGACGATCCAATTCGTTGAGTACCATTTCCCATACGGCGTGGGATCTGGTTGGGCAGCTTTGCAAGTTTCCGTGGCATCTGTGTGGCATACGGAAGTACATGGTATAAGGCCATAGTGGAGGATTGCTTATAGGTGCGGTGATGGTGGAGTCGTAAAGGAAAGCTTCCTCTTCCATCATGGTAAATTGGTTGTTGCCACCTACACGGAGGTATGGAGCACGGACACCTACTACACTGTTGTCGGTGATGTTAGCGAATTTTTCTGTTATGATTCTTTGACCACCCATTTCCTTAACCCAATCGTTTACGGTGGCGTTAGACCAAAATTGCTCATCATTGTTGTGACTGTAAAGAATAATTAAATGTTAAATAAATGAAATAAGGAAAAATGTTGATGCTTACCTAATGGAGTGGACAGCAATTTCATGACCTTTACGGTGCATTTCCTGTACGGCGGAATAGTTGGTGTACTTGTGGGAAACAAAGAAGGTGGCCTTAATGTCGCAACCGTTTGGATTTCTACGCTTTCCGTTGAAAATTTCCTTGTACAATTCAATGTTGTTGTTGTTGATGGCATCGTCGAAAGTGATAGTGATCATTTGAGGAACATCTTTAGCTGGAAGATCTCCGGGAATGGTGGTTCCGTCCTCGGAGCAGAAGCAGTCGGGAAGATTACAGACAGCGGGGTCGCATGGAGGAGCGCGGTTAGGATCATTGTCGATATCTGAAATTGAAATTAAAATTGTAGACTTCTGCGAAAACGTGGAGGCGGCTATTTTGATACGTAATAAATCTTGGGATGGAAAGTGGGCCGGCAAGTTAAGCGCCGCACCCGACTGTAGACGTTACACCAAGGACAACGAAAGTTATTTTTTAATATTCACTTTCGCATTCAGTATAACCTTTCAAGGTCCATATCGGATTGATTATATAATTTGCAATTTTAGTTAAATCAATTTTAATTAAACTAAATGAGATAACATACTTTAGAAATTGTTATGTGACCTACGAAGTATTTTTATTTAGAATCTGCGTCATCACTGTATACAGATTAATTGGTCAGCATTCCATCTCGCGAAAGGGAAAGTACTCGAGAAACAAGTTATCGCTATTACATGTTGCCCGTCGACTACAATACCACCAACACCTGACGCTATTCATTCCACACAAAAAATCAATTCATTTAAATGCAAAGGATAATACGATGCTACTTTGAGATTTTTAATCAATTGCAAAATATAGAAACCGCTTCTAATTAGAAAATAGTTATACAATTACGGTTTTTAATTAGAAACCCAAACCAAATGTTTCTAATAAAGCGGTAATCGGTAACATAATTACCAATTACAAAATCGTATAAGGTCTAATAGAGTTTATTTCATAGGAAAGTAGATACATACCACAAGAGTTTTCGTCAGAACCATCGGCACAATCTTTGTCACCGTTACAGAAAAGACCTCTTTCGATACAGCTACCATCACCGCAAGCCAACAAACCATCTTGACACAAAGGCTCATCGGTCACCAACAAAGGCTTTACTTTTCTTTCCTTGTTCTTCAATTTGCAGTTCTTGACAGAATCTTTCCAATCGCAAGTTTGCTTTTCAATGTCAAAGTACAAACCGGCTGGGCAACGGATAGCTTGGAGACCCTAGAATTATAAAAAAATTATTAATATAAAATCAACAAGGATTATTGTAAAATGACTTACAGATGAGGTACATTGGATGACATCACGGCAGTTGTCGCCTTCACCGGCTACCAATCTGAACCATTCTCCGGCATCTTTGTCTTTACATAATTCAGCTTCGAAACTGTCTTCTTTCTTTGGGGTTTCTTCACTTTGAGCATTTACTGAAATAAAAACAACAAATAAGAAAAGTCTTCTTAACATTTTCCTCGATCTGCTTCTTGTTTGATTGACATTGAAAAACTAATAGCATATGGTGAACTCTTCAGTTATTTATAGGGTATATTATGTATAATAATAACTAATTTGTTGTTCATTAGTAAAAGAGAAAGTTATATTTAGTAGGAGGTACTTAAAATTATCTACAATATACCACTGATTACTTTTTAATATATGCTTATACCTTAATTTTTGACAAAAAATTATTTATAACCTGTTAAGTGATGTAATTTCATAACTAACTTTATTATGTAATTTATTGAATTAAAAAAAAAATGCTGGTTTAAGTTATTAAAATTTTATTAAATTATGCATATAACATAATATAATTAATTATTATTAAAACATTCATTATCCAAGGTTTAAAATCTTCTCGAGGTATTTTGTTATTTAGGCGTAGATAATGAATTATTTAAATATTGTTCGAGTAAAATTTATTGCAATATTAAATTAACATTTGCCAACTCATGATAGGATATTAAAAAATATATAGGTAAGTGCATAAGATATAAAAATAATAGTCTATAAATTTAAGAAAAAAAGCTTTACAAAAATATAAATTTAAAGGACTTAAGCTGCATCTGCTGAAGAAAATAAAGTAGGGTAAAAAAGTGCATAAAGACATATGTAAGTATTTTTGCAACACTTTTACAGTTAATTTTTGCCTATGATAAAATTGGGGTTTTAAAAATCTTAACCAAGTACATAGCAGGTGTATATTTTTCTTGTAAAATAGTAAATTAAAGAAGTTAAGTAAGACATGTATGTAGAAGAAGTAGATTGATGTTGGTAATAGTTCAAAAGTGAGAGTGACTTACCGTTTAACGTGAAACCCGCTATAAGCAGTAAAAGCGCTGCGTTGTAGCGCGCCATCACTACTGAAGAGGAACAAAAAAGAAAAAACACGCGCGCACCGCTGCTTAAACGAATTGACAGACCCTCTGAAACGTCGTTCGTACCTTATATACTCGGCCTACATCCAAGTCCCCGATTGGTCGGTGCCTGTTCGGACGGGTTCGTCGCGGCCGAAGAGGTCCTCTCGGCGTCACACCAACAGCACTTCGAGGAATATTGGAGAGATTGGTACCTGTTGGTGAATTTTCTAGGGACTTGTTGTCGCCTGTTTGGAGTACGCAGCATCCGAGGCTCGGTGCATAAAAAACCTGTTAATTTTATGCAAATATTGTACACTGACAAAAACAAGGAAAATATTAAATGAAATTAGCTTTAAATTCATTGTGGTAGCTGAATAAAATATTGTGTACGACTATTGGTCAAAAGATAAGATTCCACTTGCGTGCTACCGTACTTGACGCTCGTGTTGCAAACTCCACGCTCTAGGAATCTTATCTTTGTCCCACTAGTGGCCCAATATACTATTACAATTTAAAGTAGCATTTGATTTCTTTAATTTAATTTATATTTTATAGTTTTATTTCAAGTATTATTACTAAAGTTTTAACATTTTAACCATTAAGTGCATAGTTATAAAAAATATCAGCAAGTTTGGTGAAAATAAAGAGTTATTGGTATTATTTGAAATCCATTTCACCTTTAGAGTCCAACAGTAGTTCTTCATCATGTCTTCATCCCAAAACCCTTGGTATTATCTTTAGATGTTCGCCAGATCTCAGTGTAGCCGCTCTCCTTGCTAGTCGCTCATATCGCCCAAGTTTTCAGGGAAAAAATCGAAATGCATCCTAAGAGACATTCAAGCTCCAATTTTAAGGTAATTTTTTTTAACAAATTGCCGATGGTTTGCTTAAAATCCGGGAATTTGCGGTTACCTGTGTTCGGTGATAACTCAAAAACTAGAACCAATCGCAAAAAATATATTCAGCGCATCAATTAACGTTATGAATTATTCTAATCTACTCGAAACTAATAGTTAGCTGGAATTTGTAAAATTATGTCATTACTATAACATGTTTATTAGATAATAATAAACTATTAACCAAGTAAAATTGTTGTAAACCAAAAATATGATCACTATTAAATTAATCCTGACATACAGAGTGTCCCATAACTAGCGTGCAATACTTTAACAGCAGATTCTACGCACAAAAATAGAAAAAAAGTTCCTATAAACATAAATACTTCCTAATGGAGCTACAGCCTTCGAAAGAGGTGCCCCTATTTTACCTTATCTATCTGACCCAAATTTGAGATGGTTATTATTAAATCTTATTGGCCATAAAAAATTTGATCAATTCCCAAAATTTCACGTTCCTATCTTGGAGATACTAAATAAAAAACTTAAAAATCTTCAGGGGCTCCTCTTTCGGGGGCTACAGCTCCTTTAGGAAGTATTTCTCGACCTATGTTTAAAGGAATTTTTCCCTAATTTTGGACGCATAATCTGCTGTTAAAGTATACTAAAAAATATTTCCCAATTATTGAAAACCAATATAAAATAGCCAAAAAGAATCATTTTAAATTGGTAAAGCAAACCAAAAAAGCCTTTTTCGACCCAAAAATCTTAAATTCAGATAATACAGTCAGGGAGTCGTGGAATATAATAAATAAACTGACAAATAAGCAAGAACTTAGAAATAACATTGAAATTGAACATTATGGTCTTAAAGTTAGTAAAGCGGAAGAGATTGTAAATATTTTGAATAATTTTTTTGTCAACGCTCCTGTAAAGTAATTTCAAATATTCAAAACAGTGTTGCACCAAGCATTCCGGAACCAATCATGAATAGTATATTTTTGACACCAGTTTTAGAATCAGAATAAATGAGGAGCATCCGTGCAAAACCGGCTATGGCAAAAACTCTCGGTTTCCTGGCCTTTACAGATAAAAGAAAAAGCAAACTTGAGTTTTGTGGGCTTTGTGGTACTTGATTTATAAAACTTTATATTAAGGCCAAAATTTTAAAAAATGTTTTGGATATAGCCGGTTTTGCTCAAAACCCGAATAAAATGTGAAAAAAACCTTTATTATTCAAAAATATTAACAAAATAAATTTAGTGCAAACATGAAAAAACAGAACAAATTTTAGTAGTAGTATCGACATATCCAAGCCACATGCTCATAATCATTATTATTTATTGGATATAGCCGGGTTTGCTATAAAAACGTGGATTTGGCCGGTTTTGCTCCTAAATCTACCTTTTAAATGTGATTTTAACATGGATATAGTCGGATTTAAACAGAATTATCTTGGTTGTCGATAGAAATGAACCCAAAGATGCGAAATCAGAAAAAAAAACAAAAACCGAATAAAATGGATTTAGCCGGTTTTGCACGGATGCTCCTCAAATATAGTTAAGAAAAAAATTAAAAACAAGAAGTCCTCGGGTTTTTATGAGATATCAGGAAAAAAAGTAAAAATTCCTATAGATTCTGTCCTGTCGCACCTTGTCTATCTTTCTTTTGTGACAGGTCAGTTTCCAGGTATTCTTAAGGTGAACAAGATATTGCCAATCTTTAAGAAGAATTGAGAATTACCGTCCTGTGGCATTGATTTCTGTTTTTTCAAAGATCTTTGAATATTGTTTTTTGGATTGATTAGACAATTTTTTTTCGGTTAACAATATTATTATTTTTAACCAATTTGGCTTTCGTAAAAATTGTTCAACTATAACAGAAGTTCAGAACTTATAACCTTGTGACCTTAGTCGGGCATTCGACTGTGTAAACCATGATGTATTGTGTGCTTATGGTGTTAGAGGTCCTGCACCAGACTGGCTAGCCTGTTTAAAAAAAATAGAAGACATTTTGTTGCGATAAAGCAACACTTCAGTTACTTAGAAAATAACTACGTTTAAGATCTGACAACCATAAATATAGGGATACCTCAAGGGTCAGTAATAGGACCATATACTAATGACATATTTAAGATTTTTAAAAATGAGAAATGCACGGCACTTTATTTGTGATAAATGTAACTTAACTTTGGAGAACAAATGTAATAAAGTGTAATGCTTTAAAAACTTGGTTTGAAAATAATTTCTTGTATTTTAATGCAGATAAAACAACGTACTTCAGATTTCACACACTGCAAAATTTAGTAGGTATATTGAATTTAAAAATTGATAATCAGTCTATTATAGAATCTTCTGATACCAAATTTCTGGGTCTAACTTTAGATAGTTACCTTAAGTGGAATAATCATTGTATAAATTTAATCAGACAATTAAATAGCCTTTGCTACCTATTAAGAAATTTGCGAAGTGCCATATTCCAACAAAATATGACAAAAGTATTTAACGCATATATTGCATCTAGACTACACTATGGTATAATCTTTTAGGGACCATCTACATCTGCAACCTAAATATAAGTATAAATGCACCCAATTCCTTAGGCATTCAATCATTTTCCTTAGGAAATAAGATACTTAAACAATATTAACTAATTTAAATAAAGATTAAAAGCATATTTAATTAAAAGTTAGTTTTACAATTTAAGTGAGTTTTGGTTTAGTTAGTTTTCTATTTGTTAATTTAAAGTTAGTTCGTTGATATTTTTGTGTTTGTTTATATATTTTATTATTAAATTTTTATATATTTTTTCAACCGACGATTCCTATATTATTGTAATTAATAAAAGGAAAATAAAGATTATTATTATTATAATAAATTATTATTATTGCACGTTAATTATGCGACACCCTGTATAATATATATTTAAGCTTTTGACATTTTTCAATTTTTTTACTGCGTGATAATAAAATAAAGAAAATGGCAAATGGACAAACTGACCAAAAATAATTTTTATCAAAAAAATTTCAGTAAAAAATTTTCAAACAAATCAAAATTACAAATTAAACACGGACAATTAAAATGATGTTTCGCATATTCAGGGGTTTAAAATTAGGCAAAAACTTGTATCAAGGATGAAATTTTCTGAGAAATGTAAAATAATTTTTTCCTCTTGGTTACGTCATCTGTGGAGATACCTACTGTAGAAGTAATAAAGTGAGTTAAAAATGCAACATCGTCCTGTTATAGTATATTAATATATATTATTATGAATCAAGTTTGATGAACGGCATTTTAGTCCCCCTAGTAGAGGCACGAGCAAAACTTGCGAAAGAAATTTAAAGCAAAATTTATTTTTTTAAACATTTGACAACTATCAGATGAATCTAACCTCACTTTTTACCAATTTTTGTGTGTAAATAGAAATGTCTCCCTTGAAAATGAACAAACAACCGTTTAAATCCGATATAGAAGCAGATTTTTACAGTTAAAGTATACTTCTTTATAAAGAAAATGGTTTTTGGGCACTCCACGGTGGAATCTCGTCGCAAAATTGTTAATGTTTTATCTAGTTTACTCCGGCCATTGTATGACATTTGACAACTGTCAACTAACTTAAAGGTAACTTCAGCCCGTGACTAAAAACCTATTGCTAACTTTAGCCCGTAACTAAAGCGCAACAAAGCCATAGCTTGTCAAAGTCTATTTAAAAGATCACTTAGTCAGGGCCGGCTTACGGCAATTGAGCGCCTTGGGAAATTATAAATTTGACGCATATTAGTATACATATACTAAACTTACGGGGCCCGGGGCAAAGTTTAGAAAAGCTTATCATACTAACCTAATTATCTCCTATAAATTAAAATACTTTTCATAAAAAATAGGTTTATTAAAAAAAAACACATAAAAACAAGACAATATCGGATTCCCAGGGTAAAAATAAACTGCAGTTTATTTTACCATGGTATTTATTGAAAATATATAAATGTATGAAAATATTCAAAGGATGGAACGGTTGATTTAAGATTTAAATTTTTTAAAGAAATTCTGTACATACAGCCATGTGGTGCATGGAAAAATAAAAGGTAACATGGTGATATAAAAACTAATATAAATTATTAAAAGAGTAAATAAATGATTTAATGGATGAGTTAATCTCAGGTTTTCTTAATTATGACCCGCATTTTTTTAAATAACAAAATCAGTAAAGAATATTCGCTACTATACCGTATTGTATTTTTGGTAAAAATAAACCATTTGGTAACAATTTTTTTAAGTTGGTTGGGACAAGGCGCCTATTTCTTCATGGCGCCTAAAGGCAATTGTCTTTCCTACCTAATGGGTAATATTGCCCTGTACTTAGTGTCATGAATACATGTATTATAATGGGCGTTTTAAAGGTGAGAGTAGAAAAATAAATTAAAATATAA